GTTGGAGGACAATGCTGAACGTTGTGAGGAATCCTCAGACCTCATATGCTCAGATGGCACTCAACATCCTCTGTGCTCTTCTGATTGGACTCATCTACTACCAGATGCCTTTAACTCTGCCTGAAGCCCTACAGAACAGGTACTGTCACATCCGTCCATCCATCCATCATCCATCCATCCACCCGTCCATCCACCCATCCATCCACCCACCCATCTATCCATCCACCCATCTATCCATCTATCCACCCATCCATCTATCCATCTGTCCGTCCATCCATCCACCCAGCCATCCACCTACCCTTCCATCCATCCATCCATCCATCCATCCATCCGTCCATCCATTCATTAACCCACCCACCCACCTGTCCATCCATCCACCCACCCACCCGTCCATCCATCCATCCATCCGTCCGTCCGTCCGTCCGTCCATCCATCCGTCCATCCATCTGTCCATCCATCCATCCATCCATCCATCCTGCCACCCATCTATCTATCCGTCCGTCCATCCATCCATCCGTCCATCCACCCATCTATCTATCCGTCCATCCGTCCATCCATCCATCCATCCATCCATCCATCCATCCATCCATCCATCCATCCATCCATCCTGCCACCCATCTATCTATCCGTCCGTCCATCCATCCATCCGTCCATCCACCCATCTATCTATCCGTCCATCCGTCCATCCATCCATCCGTCCATCCATCCATCCACCCACCCACCCACCCGTCCATCCATCCATCCATCCATCCACCCATCCATCCACCCATCTATCTATCCGTCCGTCCATCCATCCATCCGTCCATCCACCCATCTATCTATCCGTCCATCCGTCCATCCATCCATCCGTCCATCCATCCATCCATCCACCCACCCACCCGTCCATCCATCCATCCTTCCATCCATCCATCCATCCATCCATCCATCCACCCATCTATCTATCCGTCCGTCCATCCATCCATCCGTCCATCCACCCATCTATCTATCCGTCCATCCGTCCATCCATCGATCCGTCCATCCATCCATCCATCCACCCGTCCATCCATCCATCCATCCATCCATCCACCCATCTATCTATCCATCCATCCATCTATTCGTCCATCCATTCGTCCATCCACCCACCCACCCATCCAAACACACACACACCCACCCATCCATCTGCCCATCCATCCACTCATCCATCTGTCTGTCTACCCATCAATCCATATATCCAACTATCCATCCGTCCATCACATCCATCCATCCGATCGATTTACAGTAACCAAATATCCATCCACTCATCCATCTATACATCCACTCATCCACCCTTCCATCCATCTCTCCATCATTACAGTTTAATTTCCCTGTGTTTTGTGAGCAGGATTGGAGCATTCTTCTTTCTCATCATCAACATGGTGTTTGGCAATCTATCAGCAGTTGAACTCTTCATTAATGAGCGAGCAATCTTCGTGTGAGTATGACATTATCATTTTTTTTCAAATCTCTCCATTTTCAACGTTATTTTAGTGTCATTTATATAATATTATGATATATTTATTAATATTTTGAATTAGTCACACGGAAACTTAGTTAGTGTGTAATGTTGCTGTTTGAGGATAAACAACATCTGCTAAGGTACAACGCTCAAAGTTCAAAACAAAGGGAGATATTTGCTTTTAAAGAAATCGTTTTTTAGGACTACAACAAACGGCTGGTAGGGACTACACATACAACATGTCATGACCCCTTTCATTTTCTTTTACAAAAAAAATAAATAAGTGTGTTTTATGTGCATGGTTTAGGCATGAGAACTCTGGAGGATATTACCGTACATCTGTGTATTTCCTGTCCAAGGTGTTTGTGGATCTGTTACCAAATCGCATTGTACCGATTTTCATCTTCTCCAGCATTTCTTACTATATGATGGGTAAGCACACGTCGCATTATCCATTATTAGTATGCTAAACATCTGGCACATCATTAAAACTATCAGTAGCACATATTGTGTACTAAATGCAACTTGAATATACTCAGTAAGTACATCTATATTTGTCAACAGGGTTGAATCCATCATTCACATGCTTCTTATGCTTTGCGCTGACCATGTCTATGGTCAGTCTGGCGGGAGTCAGCTTGGCTTTCCTGATCAGTGCCAGCGTGAGCTCATTCGCCATGGCCAACATCCTCATAGCCCTGCCCTTTGTCTTCATGATGGTCAGATTTCTAAACATACACTTGCACAACACTCTTGTTCTTTGTCATTTTTTCCTCATTCCATCTGTCTTTCTCTCTCTTTGTTGCAGGTATTTGGAGGGTTCCTGGTAAATCTCAATGCAATGCTCAACTGGTTGTCTTGGCTCAAGTGGGCCAGTATCTTCAAATATGGCCTAGATGTAAGGAAGAGGAGCAAAGACATTTATTTTAGTGTTTTTGCAAGACATAACACATATTAAAAGAGTGTAACACATGCTTTTTACATGCATCGCCACACATTGTCAAATTATATAAGCAGTGCTAATTATAATGTAATTGTGTGTTGTTCTTTTGTAGGCTGTGACTATAAATGAAATGAAAGGGCAGGTCTTCTACAGTGGCAACGCTACGTAAGTTATTTATATTGTATAAAGATAAAGTGTAATGACAGTTCAGTGAAAGTTCACAGAGTTACATAACTGGGAAGTTTGACACATCATGACAGGCTTATTATACACTATACTGTTCCAAGGCTTGGGGTCAGTGAGATTTGTTTTAAAGAAATTAATATTTACATTAACCGCTTTTATTCAGAAGTGACCGGAAAGACCTTGCATTGTTACAAAACAATTCTAATTAAAATAAATGGACACCAGTTATTTTAAATTAGAATAATATTGTATTTTTGATCAAATTATGCAGTCTTGGTGAGCATAAAAATAAATTCTCAAACATCTTTACTAACCCCAAATTGTTTTTGCAAGTGTAATGCATATCATATCACAATATTGGCATAAAAGGAATTCTTTAAATCATTGCTCAATACAATTTTTTATTGAGCAATTAAAATAGATGTTTACATCTTCTGTTTGATCTCTTTCTCATGGTCAGACTAACTGGAGAGACGTATCTGGAATCTCAGGGGATCGACTACAGTGTGTGGGGCTTCTGGCAGAACCAGGTGGCTCTTCTGGGCATTATACTGGTGTGTATGATATTTGCATACATACAGTTACGCAGGATCAACCGCTGGAAATAATGAGCATTCTCTTCATAACAGAATGACTCATACACTCAAAGTAATTTCCTAAAATTCATATTTTTGTACACCAACTTCATTTTTGTTGTATGCAGATTATAAACACTGTTGTCTATATAAATTATGTTTTAATTTATTAATTCAGACACGGACACTGATACCTGTTTGTAAATATGGAGTACTTTCTAATGTTAAAAAAAAAGCATGTTGTGCAGCATATCTGTATTTGAAGTGCTATTTAAATGCTTTCCTAAATTAACTAGTAAAACAGTTAAGATTAGACAAAATGTTTCTGTTGCAAAATCACTGTATTTGTACAATTGGACTATTGACTCAAAACATTATAGTTACTGAGATGAGACGTGAATATAAAAAAAAAGTTCTCAATTTTTTGTCCTCATGAAGTCATGTGTTGAAAAGAAAATATGGTCATAGATTTTGTTCTATATAACCAAAAAGTGATATATATATATATATATATATATATATATAAATTGTTCAATATGTTAATCAATATGTTTTTATCCCAATAAAACATTTTAAACGTGTGGCCTGTGTGAGTGTGTGGATAAGCGAATGGAAATGAATATTGTCTTGTTTTCCTTAGAGTAATACGTAATCTCACCGCTAGGTGGCAGCACCGTTCTGAGTCATGACCCAATGTGACTCTTATTCTGCACGTTCCTCCCATAGACATAATAGAATACTGTTGTATTTTATATGTCTATGGTTCATCCACGTCTTCTTGCACTGCCCTGATATTAATTATACACACACAACTGTATTTTTTGTAAGAAGCTAGTTTGAATATTATCCATTTACTTACGGTAGTATTTTTAAATGAGTATAGCTGTTAACTGAAATTCACTATTCTGTTTGAGTGTATGGCTATATAAGCACACACACACACACAAGTCATACAAAGCTTTTGTCAAATTGGATATTTTCATATTCAAATGTATACTACATAATTAATAAAATGCTTGGTTGTTTCAACCCAAATTTGGGTCAAATATGGACAAACCCAAATGTTTGTTTAAAAATGCAATAAAAAAATGTACAGTTAAAAGTGAAAGTTGAAGTTGGGTTAAAATTTTAAATGACATTTTTAACCCAACATTTGGGTTTGTCCATATTTTACCCAAATTGGGGTTAAAACAACCCAGCATTGTTTAGAGTGAAGGCTACATACTTGAGTCATTCTTCCTGGTTTCTTACATAGGCTACTTAACTCTCAGCTCATCTCTTTGTTTTTCTATAACACAATTTAAGTCATGTAATTTGTCCTCCAGTTGTTGCTGTAGTGTCTAAAACCCACAGAAAGCAGCTGCAAATATTTCTGTTATTGCCACATGTAATATTCACAATCACATCTGTAAGATATATTAGCATCTCCTGTGTGTATGTGTATGTGTGAGAGAGAGAGTGTCTGTGTGTGCAGTGCAGTCTTCTTGAGTTTCAAGAGCCACACTGTCAGCGTAAAAAATCTTGGAAATTCTCCAAGGTCGAGTTGGGGAGAATTCATTGGAAAATAGTCAAGGTACAGAGGTGCATAATCAAAATCTGCTTCAGAAAATGTAAAATTCATGTTACAGATCTCTGTGGCAACAAAACTATTGCAATGAATTGGGTTGAGTTGCAATATGTAAACTTGTACAGAATAAGGAATAAAGTAACTATAAATGGATTAGGCAGTTGATTATTGTTACCATATCTATTGCTAGCTAATTATAATTTATGAATTATGTGAGATGAACCTTTTTAGACAAGAACGAAACAAAGCACACTCTTTAACAATTTACTGTCCAACATTTTTTTTATTTCATTGTCATGTCCAGTTGCAAATGGCACATAATGAGAATTGAGAATCAAATAAAAATGAAGTTCAACAAAAATTGCATTTTCACACCTAAGGAGATCATATCCCACCAGGGAAGGCACAAACACTTCTTTTTCTTCAACACATTCACATGGAAAAGCTTTAGCCGAAAAAGTGCAAATCAACAAGCTAGAGTTACAATAAAAAACACTGTTGTTCCTGATGTCGGAACATGCTGAATACAAGTCATGTAACCCAAAATGTCCACAAACACTAACAATTTGACAAACAAAGGATTTGCTTTTGACTGACTTTGTGTGCTTGTGTATGTGTGCGTGGAGAAATCTGAATCTCTCTAATGTGAACAAGGATGTTTCTCCAGTATTTTCTAAGCCACGTTGCTGCTATTTAAAACATGGCCTCATTACAGAAGCCAGTTCACTCTAAAAATGTTTTTGGGAGCAGGAACAAACCCTATGGCCGGAGGCTCAGCTTATAATGCACAGCATTTTGCATAAGCAAAATTACTGACCATATTGTAATAGCACATTTAGATACTGAATTTCCTAGAAACCGTTATTATACGGAGTGAAATAAGACCATGAAAGCACTGAAAGGCAATGACAGTGACTTTGCATGATTCTACACAAAGTGCATTAAATTGCTTAATTGTATTGTTGCATTATTTCGTGAAGACTTATGCTAATTGAGATTAATCCTTTTTTTGTATTATATTTTGTCAGTGTACCATCAATTTGTGCTTCATTAAAGGGAAAATTCACCCAAAAATGAAAACTGTCATCATTTACTCACATTATTGTTCCAAACCCATATGACTTTCTTTATTCTGTAGAACACAAAGTCAAAATAAATGCTTTTATGTTCGACTGAAGAAAGTCATAAATGCTGACAGACTTACCATTTTTGCGTGAAATACCCCTTTAATATAATGAGTTTAATGACAAGTAATTTGTGCATTTGTACTTTTACATTCAAATGTGTTAGATTATGTTGAAACCGCATGTTGCGTGATGGGGACTGTACATTATCATCTTGTGCTTATGCTGTAGAGAATGTGTTATGTTTAAGTATAGGTTTAAAGAACACACATTGTTTGTTTGTGTGTGTGCAGATCCATGAATGTTTCTTAGTATTCCCACAATGTTGCGTCGGCAATCGCCTGGCCGCTGGCTTTGAGAGCCCCAGCGTGGTCTCCCTTAAGATACTTGCCTTCCTCCGTCTTAATGGCCACTTTATTATAATCGCAGAACTCAAAGTGGAAATAGACAGGTGTTCCACTGCTGCTAATCACAGAGCCGTCTGCCTCAACGGTCCAGAACTTCCCCACCGAGTCTGAGGAGAGCAATTAGAGAAATGGTAACTATTTACGACCTACCAAAACAAATCCCAGTCAGAGTAACACTATCACTCACCTTTGAGGCTGTAAGCGTTGTTGTTGTACTCTAACTGGAAGACATCGTATGACGAGCGGTTTGAATCAAGTGTGCCGGTTCCTTGCTTACGGCAACCAATAAAGCCGTGTTCCCCGCGCAGAACTATCAGCGGCCGGTTGATGAGCTTCAACACAAACTCCTCCTGCTCGCCTGTAAAAGAAAACAGCACACGCTAGCACATACTCTACATATAACCCGTTAGCTGTGGTTAATAATACAATACAGCGCTCTTGATTTTACACATGAATGATTCAAATCTTAATAAGGAATCCAGGGTGTTTTCACACTTGTAGATTGGTTCTCTTGGTTGTTTTGATTCGGACCAAAAGAGAAAATTATACATTGAATCCTGGTTCGCTCAGCATTCACACTTTAATACTGAACCTTAAGATACAAAACAAAAAAACATATTTTACTTATGGTATCGAACATCCAAAACAATGCTGTGTGCTGGGATTGATGCTCTCGTTTTGTGTGCATACGTAACAGAGGAAAGCTAGTAGTCGCTGTACGTGTAACCCTTACTCTCCTGACCTCAAGAGGTGCGCTAGCAACTGGCGGCTGCGGTCTTTAGCGTCCTTGTTAGCGCACCCTCCCTCAACACCGGTTCAAATCCCACTCAGAGCAGGTCGAGTAGGACCGGAGGGGTTACATTGGTGCCATGACCTGGATGGACATGAGGTTTAGGCGGATGAATGTAACAGAGGCAAGCTAGTAGTCAAACCTCACTCCCCTGGCCTCAAGAGGCATGCTAGAGGCTACAGTCTTTGGCGTCCTTGTTAGCGCACCTCCCTTCCACACCAGTTCAAATCCCGCTCAGAGCAGGTCGAGTAGGACCGGAGGGGTTACATTGGTGCCATGACCTGGATGGAAGTGAGGTTTAGTCGAATGAATGTAACTCAGGCAAGCTAGTAGTCAATGTGCGTGTAAACCTCACTCCCCTAGCCTCAAGAGGCGTGCTAGAGGCTACAGTCTTTAGCGTCCTTGTTAGCGCGCCTACCTTCCACGCTGGTTCAAACTCAGACAATTTGGTTACCTGCCAACTCTCGAAAGGCTTATAAATGTGTAAAGGGTAGTACACGAACGAGAATGATAACTATAGTGATAACTTTATTTGCGACCACACTAACAAACGATAATGTTTTGAGTGAAGCTAGTGTAATCGATCTAATAAACTGTGAATTTAGCTGATGTAGTCAATGAAGACAATGCTGTCGAAACGAGTGCTGGATACCTGAGGTAATTGCTTCTCACCATTTATTCAAAGGGTATGAACGATTTTTTTTATTCCATATCCATTTTTTTAAATGGGCTTGACTTTTCAATTCAAACAGTTCAATTCTGGACCTTAATTCTCTGCAATGTTGTCGGCCATTTTAAATGCGTGAGCCCTTAAATTAGAATTGATTCTGATTGGCTTTCAGTGTTTTATTGTCCAACAGCTGAAAAAAAATCTTTCCTAAAGTGATCCCAATGATATCCTTTCTCTATTTCGTTATCGTTATAGCTGGGGTGTGAAATCTGCTATTCTTTAATATTGAGAACGATTTTTAGAACTATATTTTATAGTTATTTTTATCAATATCGTTCTTGGTGTGAATGAACCAGTCAAAACAGCACCAGGAATTCCTCCAATACACACACAACCTGAGATCTTCTGCGGTTCCAATGCCATACCGTACTGTAATTGGCAACATGGCTCCTATATGACGAGAGGAACCAGGTATTCTTTTCCAGGCATTCGGTCCTTTTTAGGCCCGAGCACCGATGGTGTGAGGACCCTCTTGGAATAGCTCCGCTTATTGGGGTTGTGTCTTGTGACATTACATCCTGTTTTTGGTTCGATTAGATGTCACAAAGAGTTTGTTTGGAAGCTTGTTTGGTGCACACTTATTCAAATGAACCACACTAACTGAGCTATTGCAACAGAGTTCATGTTAATCGAACCAGACCTTCCAAGTGTGAACACACCCTCACACACAAACCTGCAGAGTCCACAGCGGCCGCCAGCTGTCCATTCTTCTTGGCTGCCAAGTATTTACCATTACTGGCCTTCAGTGCCACTTTTGACCCTTTCCACTCAAGGTCAAAGAAACAACTGGGTGATCTGGGATAGACAGACAGTTTCTTAAAATCAACTTAGTTTCGGAATGTAGATTTCTTTTCTTATTGAGCACAATTGAGCTTATGTTCAACTCTAGCTAACAATAAACTTATTCTTACTTTAACTGTAAGTTGCTTTGGATAAAAGTGGCTCTTAAATGCAAAATGTTAATGTAACAGTTCATCAATGCAATGTCTTTTTTTATTTTTATGACATGGAAACTTACTCCAAACAACTTTCCTCCATTTTGGTATGTTTAAAAACCAATTATTGGAGAATATATATAAAATTGTTGAGTAAACAGAGCATCTGGTCAAGACAAGCTGTTATGTTTGCATTCCCTATTGCTTTTATCTAATCCCTCTTTCCATATGGTTCACTCAGCAGCAAACAATCTTTTAGACACAGGCTGGCTAATCTGCTATTCTACCCTGTGTCTAGTTATATCTATGAAACATTTTCTGAAAGTAGTTACATATAGTTAGTTGTTCTTACTTAGTGGAGGCAGAGCATTGAATCGCTCCATTTGGGGTGAGACTCCAGTACTTCCCATTGCAAGATCGGAAGGCACAGCGCTTTGTCTCCATGTCCATCTCCATCTGAAACACCTCCTGATCAGACTCCTCATCCTGATTGGCTGATAAATCAACCCCTAAAATAATAATTCAATCAGAGTGCTATTTTAAGACAGACTAGGAGAGTGAAGTTAATCAACATATAATTCAAATTCTAATCTGATACTTTTCTGCATGGATATACACACACTGACACAGATTTCCAGAGCTTATAAAAGTAAAGCCAAACTCAAAGCCAATATGCATGCTTTTTATATGTTTGTTATGCAATAAATTATTATTATATTTGTACAGTAACTTTGATTAGTTTGCTAAGGCAGGACAATCATTTTACAAATTGTGTGGTATGAAAATTAATACATAAATTAGGCGCCCTGCATGCAACACAAAAAGAGCATGGAGTCTGGATACATTTTGGAGCTAGGTGCTTAGATTTACAGATATTTAAAAAGTAGCCCATTTTTACTTAAATTTGACTTCACCCATATGTCCCAGACCTATTATTAATAGTATTTCCGAATCATGCTGCAATCACAGCTCACCTTGGCGCATGGAGATGTTTCTTTCGTTGCTGGCTGTGAGCACCACTTGCCCGTGACTTTGCTCGAGGACAAAAAGCTCATCTTTCCCGACACGCGCACTCTTGCCTGACTTCATTGTCCCGGTGGGGCCCGTGGGCGCGATGTATTTGCCCGTGGCGTCCCGGAAAGCCACCTTCCCCGCGCGAAATTCCAGTGTGAACCCGGTGCCCGTGCCCGGTTTGGTATTAAGCGCGCCGCTGCACGTGAGGAAGCGGTTGTCTGCGGTCTGCAGATGATACCGGTGGTCCAGGTACACGAGCGTGAGCAATGAGTCCACACCCCACGGCACGTCGCGGTCCACGGCGAGCTCGTTCCTCTCGGCGCACAGGTGTGCGTACCGCTTGCGCGCGATGCTGTAGACGTTAACCTGAGGGTGGATTGCCAGGTGCACGTTCCATTTCTCCGCAGGCGAGATGCTTTGCGCAAAGCACGAGATCCGGTCCTCGGTCCCGCCCAGGTAGCGCGCATGGGGCTCGGACTGCAGGGACCACCGGCCGTCGTCGTGGGCGATCACAAGGAACCGACAGTCCGGGCCGGGTTGCTCGCTGTCCGCGGTCACGTTGCCGTCCTTGTCGGTGGCGAGGTAGCGACCCAGGTGGCTTTTGATGAACACGGCATTGGAGTCTCCGTGGTCTCCGGACTGTTCCAGTGTCCACACCTGCTTTTTCTTCATTGAGCTCGCGGAGGCGTTGATCTTAAAACCAAACATCTCCGCGGTCAGATATTTGTTACCGGCGTTTATTAGCCCGAACCGAATCACCAAAGTCTCGCCTAATCCTTCCGAAGACATGCTGGAGCTGTTTAGACGTTACGGTTCGGTGAGAATCGGTGAGCAGCGGTTCCGAGGAGTGGGTGTGACTGACGAGTGATATAGCTATAGCCCAGCGATGGCGCGCGAGCGAGCGAGCGAGCGAGAGAGAGAGAGAGATGCTGATGCTGATATGTAGGCTGTAGCATATGTACATTTTTTAGGTGTCTTGCTGTTTTATTCCACACAGGAGCATAATCGTACTGGACAGCTGTTTGCACCACTTGATTTACCCTAATAAAATACAAAGATGTGGAACCTTTCCACGTCATCTCTCTGCTGTTGCTATGGAAAGAATAGACCGATCTTAAATTAAAGTGTCTTCTCTTGTGACATAGAAGTGCACTTTTAAATATATTTATTATGGAAATCATTGGCTAGGCTTATACTTAAATTTATTTAAATGCGTACTGGTTATAGGATGATGCTTTCTGACACTTATAGTGTTAAAATTATAGTGTTATAGTTTAAATTTATATTAAAAATTAGTTTAACTGAAGGGTGTTCTTTTGACCATCAAACAGGTCTGAATACAATATGTATTTTAAAAGGCCTAATTAGACATATTGTTTATTAAATATGGTTATTTGTGCAATTTGTAATGTTGAAGTTGCAATTTAGTACATTTAAAACATATTAACTTTAAATGGTGACCTATATTAAATAACACACTACAAAATTATCAAGTAGCTATTAACATGTGTCCCTGAGCAAGACACTTAACCCCTAGTTGCTCCAGAGACATGCAACCTCTGACATATATAGCAGCAATTGTAAGTCGCTTTGGATAAAAGCGTCAGCTAAATGAATAAATGTAAATGTAACATGCTTTATATAATATAGCCTACATTAAAGTTAAAAATAATTTGACATTATTACAGAACTGTAGGCCTACTTAAGTTTAAACCTGGAAGACTATGGAATTGGGGTTTATGGGACACTTGAAGAGACCTTCTGCAACAACTATCAACCTGTAGCTTTAGACTGAGGGGTTGAGCTTGGTCAGTTGATAGGAAACCTTCTGGGAAAGCAGAGGTTGCGAGTGTGTGTGCGGCCAGAAGGGGGCGATCTTCGTGTGATCTGTCTGTTCTAACGTCCCACACAATGATGGTAACCTCAAAGGCACCGTTGTCCAAATCTGTGATGTTAAAAATGTTCAGCGGTCAATAAACCCCATCTTTCTCAGGAAAAAAAGAAGTCCTAAAACAATCCTCACATACAAACTCGTTACATCACCAAAGAAACTGCGTAAAATGTACTATTTCTAACATTTAATACTTAACATTACCCTTCATTCAACTTATTTTTATTAACAGTGTAGATGCCCCCCAAACATTTCCTCTGCTCATCTGAAATAACTAAGAACGAAGGAAGCAGGAACTTGCTGGGGTTATTTCAGCCCATGCTGCAGCCTTCCTCTTCCTCTTAAATGACAGGATATTGATTCGGTGATGGAAATTAAATCTCTCCACTCATACTCTCATTTTTTCTTCATCAGCACATGAACACACATTGCCTAAATACCAGTGGTAAGATGTACAATTATTGATTGCATTAAAGGGATAATTCATTATTTATTTCTTATCATGTTGAGAAATTGTGTTTGGTGTCGAATTTAACAACTACATCAATAACAAAATCCATTAAATCACACATAACATTAGTTCATACTGGCAGATTCAGGCACAAATAGAATCAAATCTAAATGTAAAATCTGTTTACATTCACAAATACACTACACATTCCACAAACCATTATAAATTTGATACAGCTTGACTAAACAAATAGTTTATATTCAATCATGATTTGTTTTATTGGATTTCTTTGGTAACACTTTACAATAAGGTTCATTATATGGAAATTTATTATAAGCAATATTTTGTACCCATTGTACCCAATATGTAATCATTTGGTACCAATATGTACATTTGAGGTTGCCTAATAAGCACGAGTGACAGCTTTTGATACCATTTTTGTCTGAGATGTAAACTAGTTAACTAATGTTAACAAATGTGTTACCATTCTAAAGAGTTACTGTTGATATCTTCACATGATCTAGAGTTTTTACATATCTCAAATTCTTTAAAAAGAAAAAAAATGTAGTTGCAGCCGTAATAGTTAAAACAAACACTGAAAAAGGACAGACATATCTGCAATATCTAACTTGAGCTTCCTCTTGTATTTTTTCTTGGGGAAAAATTAACATTAGGTACGGGTGCATTGTGTGGAACAAACACTGATGGATTAAGACGAAGCATCTATGTGAGAGAATTTAAATGTTACCATATTTACACTGATAACTATCACGCCCCTAGACAAGACACTAAAACAGCTACGTTTAGGATGCATTCATATAAGAAGCTAATTAAACTAGCTTCATTTACTTTCTTAATGAACCAAACTTTTATATGGCCCAGAACTACACATTTCAACTTGCTTCCAGGCTTCCAGACTGCTCTCTCAGTTCAAAATTGACTGAGTTATGCCATGATCTCTGCTAATGAAGCAGCGTGAACGATGCACACAAAGTGCAAACCTCTCGATTTAATGAGGTTCATCTGTCAAACCCAACTAATGAAACCATTAAGTGAAAATAGCATCCTAAAATATATAATGCTGAAAGCTAGATTTAGTTTTTTCTCCCCAATTAACTCAAAAAGTAGCAGAAAATATCAGTATTGTCGATCTATCATGGCAGGTTTCTCACTTTTGTAATCTCACACAACACATGTTGCAATCTCGTTGTCCAAAGTGAGATTCAAAAACACGAATGTCCTGTTGTCTGTTGAGGATTTGTGCCCATGATAAGGCAAGTATTTCGAGAAGACAATGCATTGTTGAAAGTAAACCCATCATGAATGTGTCCTTGCATAAAACCTTGCATGATCTTCTTAGTCAGACTCAACAGCTCTCTCTGCTGATGATATTGTAGATGTTGAAACTCAAACTCTTTTTGTTATAAACTGTTTTTTCAGCATCATTAACTCTTCATTGATCCTTCAGAAATCATTCAGATTTGCAGCTCGAGAAACATGTCTTATTATTATCAATGTTGAAAACTGTTGTGCTGCTTAATAGTTTTGTGGAAACTGTGATCATTTTTTAGAATTATAATTTGTGTGACATTATAAATGCCTTTAGTTACAATTTGATGTCCTTATTATTAGTCCTTATTAGTATTATTACACTGTAAAAAAAATATTATTGGTTTAACCTAAAAAATAAGTAACCTGGTTGCCTTAAAATTTTAAGTTCATTGAAATGGGAAAATTGAGTTAATACAATGAAGGAGATTAATTTAATCACCACACTGTAAAAAATATTTTCATGATTAGTAATCACAAGATTTTTTCTTTTGTCAAATCAACTTAAATAATTTATTTAATTCAGATAACATATCATTTTGAGTTTCTGATGATTAAATCATTCTCCTTCATTGTATTAACTCACTTTTTCCATTTCAGTGAGCTTAAAATTTTAAGGCAACCAGGTTACTTTTTTAAGTTAAACCAACAATATTTTTTTACAGTGCAGAAACTAAAAATATTATGTTATCTGAACTACATAAATTATATAAGTTGATTTGACAAAAGAAAAAATGTTGCGATCATGAAAATATTTTTTTTACAGTGTATATATGAAAAATATCTTACTGCCCACAAAAGGTGTATTTTTATTTAATATAATTACATCCTTTTTTAATGAAGTCATTCCTTTATATGTTTTTAAAGCCACATCATAAAATAAGGAAATATAATTATAGTATAATGCATTGCAGTACAAACAAAATAACCAAAATGAAACATATTTCCATCCACTCAAAACATTTTTCAAACCAAATCTTTTAATTTTCTTCATGGGAGAGTGCTAAAATTGAGAATCTGAGTTACATGATTGCATTCATGGATGCAAGAGTGTGAAAAGTAAAAGTGAATCTTTTTTTAATGTGCCTTAGTTTGTGCATGTTCTGACACATATACATTCCCGAAATGACAGCGAGTGACCACCCTCTTTTCCTTGGAACGCTATATAGGCTGTTTCATTTTATGAAAGTATGAAAGCTTGCGTTATGTTATACTGTCATGTTCAGTAATTAGACAGCATAAAGTTGGCTTCCAACACATATCTCAAATTCAAAGCACTGTACTCAAGTGGGACCAAACAATAGGAAAATACCTCGGAAAGGTTACCTGTGGAAAAAAATTATTGGGGTAATACATCATGAGGCATGTATCTTATGTAACTTACTTTTGTGAACCTCAGTCATTTTGGTTATATTTCCATATTAGGAGTCTACCTGTTCCCATTGCTTATAGAGAGCAGCATCACCAGTCCATCCCATCAGACCTTGTGTGTTACCTGTCAATGTTTCCATATAGGGTACTCGAGGTCTGATGGGTGGAGACAGTAAGTGTTTCTGTATATAATCTTATTGTGTATTTCAATTATTCTGTTGTTACAGTAATTTAATACAGTAATTGTAAAAAAAAAAAAAAAAAAAAAAGAATAAATGCAATGACAGCAGAGAGAGAAGCAGAGAGTGCCAATTTCCGCTTTAAGGAGTCACGTGACTTTGCCTTGGCTTTCCAAATTACTATACCATGTGACTCATCCAAAGATTGCCTTTTAAGGAGATTGGCTGAATATCTCTTAAAGGGGCCGTGAACAAGCTGGCTTTGTAAACAAGAAACAACACAAAGGTTATCTCCTTCCTTTATATGGAGCAGCATGTGACATGTTTGAACTCTGTATATGGCTATATGGAAGAAAACTTTTCATTTAGCTCTTTGTGTATGTTGGTACCCCCCATCACAATAAACATGCCCTTATGTCAAAACAGCTCCTCAAACTAATAAATGAATGAACAATCACACTTTACAAGTTTACCAACCAGTTTATACGCTATAATTATTTAAGAGAGTTGACTAAATTAAGTTTGGCTTACTTTATATTTCCTTTCTGATAGCTACAAGCTCCAGCGACTTCCTTTCAAATTTGTCACATGCTGTGGCTGTAAGACTTTAAGTCGTCTATCTCTCTTCCTCTTCCTCTTTCTGTTTGAAACATCCATATAAGGGCTTCAGTATCTGCTGATGACAGAAACAATCTAAAACTGATAAAACAGCATCATAAACACACACACATGTATGTCATTCTTATTACTCTTAGGCTTAGCATGATAGTCATGGACCCCCACACACCCTAAACAACAAGCTGATACTCACACACCCATCAGGAAGCAGTGA